AATAAAGTCGCTAAACAGTTTTTGCACAGGGAATATTTTGTGATGCAGGTCACATTGACAATAAAAATGTCATATTGTGACATTATGTATGACAGTAATTGCAGTGTCAATCGAATAACTGCCTAGTTCGCAGGCCAAGCAGTTGCTGAAAAAGAGAAGAAGGCATTATTATGGGTTTGTGAATAAAAAAACAGAAGCAGATTTTGATGTTGATGAAACTGACTAATTTTCAATTCAGTCATGTCAGCAGTTCCCCAGACAGTGGGAGTTTCATTTCTTGATAAACGGTGGTCCTCTTAGTTTTGCACAGCCACAACAATACATTGTGTTACAATACATGAGATGGCTGAAGAGGTGAAAAGGTTGTTATAAAATGGAAAAGCATTTGCTCTGAAACCAAACTTCTTTATCAAAGGTAGCCCATGCCCTCAGCCAGATTGTACTCAGGCTGGCTTGTGGTAAATACTTACTGTACAAGCCCCCATCTGGAGTTTGTCAAATGGAATAGAGTGTTGCCTCAATGAGACCACATCTAAGCGAGGAATTCTGACTGCTGTTTATGGTGATGTACCTAAAAGGAGTTCTGAATATTTGAGCAACCTGGAGAAGGTGGGTTTGGTGCTTCAAGTCTGGTGGGTTCAACACTTTCAGGGAAACAATGGTAATTCCTGGAGGGGTATAAGTGGGAAAGACGGTTTCTTTTATCTGAACCTGAGTGATAAAATGTTCTATTACTACTGTACTACTCATAGATTGCCTATAGCACATACCATGTTCGGACCGGGATTCTCATAAGTGTACTTGGTACCAGAGCAACATAGGCCAAGGGTCAATGATCAACTCTATTGTTGTGTCAGCAGACCAGGGGCTCAAGTATAGAAAAGTGGTCGGTGAATCCTCATCTTGGTGAACATTGTAGTCCATTCCTCCGGTACAGTTATACCTATCATTGTAGTTAAAATTAATGAAAGGACTAGATCACAGGTACAAGTTGGTGAAATCTTTTTCCACAGGATTGGTGTGACAGGGTGAGAGGTTCAGTGATCAAGTCAAGTCCTGGAGTTGAGCCACTGCTCTTTAGGAGCATGCTGGGCTGTTATTGCCACCTTAACAAGATAGCCCTGAAGAGGCACACTTCAGATCTCTTCCAAGCACAATTCTCGTAAGGAGAGAATGAAAATGTATGGACTATTAGAAACATGAAAAACAGGTTCCAAATACGAGTGATTCTGTGTCTGCCTGAGAGCCCTTAACTTTAAAGCAGAAACTTTTGTCTTTCTACTAGTAATTAAAGTGAAAGCAGACGAGTACGAAATTAGGACTGTCTGGCAGTAATGTTGCTCCTAGGTATTTATTGGCATCTACTATTTACCAAAGAAGTAGCCAAGCTTTCTGAAAAGGTAAGCTTAATAAGACCATTGACACTGCCAGAACAAAACTGCACACTTCTGTGCTCATGAACACAACTTTTAATTTGGCAGCAATCAGCACAACAACAAATGTCCTGTTCTTTCTCATATCTTTTCTGAAAATATTTTCGATTTTTTAAAGGCACAGTGGTTTTCCAATGTGCATTTGCTGAACGCCAGACAATTTTAGCCAAATACATATTTTAGAATAGAAAAGGTTTCAATTATTGAAACAGAATCATACACAATTTATGGTGTGCTGCAAACAACAACTTAAAAATACAGGAGGGGTTAGATATAATAAATTGCTAGTTTAGAAATAGACAAAACTGATTCCACTATCTTTGTGAAGGTTAGTGTTTCAATTATGATGCCAGATTAACGAAGAAAAGAAAAATAATCAATAACATGATTCATCTCCCCACAGTTGCTTTTAGCCCCTAAATAAAAGTCTTTGATTTCTAAAAAATATCCCTCTTATCTAAGGAATACATGAATGAAAATAACATTGAAAGTGTTTGATTAAAGGTATATTGGCAAACAACTTAAATATTTAATGAAGATGCTCCACTTTACAGTCAGTTGTTCACACAGGCTTTTTATGTGAGTGCTCTGAGGAACATTAAAGAAAAGATTGCCTCATGTCAAGTTACATAAGACTTACATTCTATGCTTTGAAAAACAAAAACTGTGCAGAGAAAAAAATCTTTAGGAAGTCCTAACCAAGCTACAATATACTGTATCTGACAACTGACACTCATTTCTTTGTATAAATGATTATAGACTTTTTACAAATAAATTGAAATAACTGATTAATTCTTGTAAAGTTTTTAATATCCCTCAGCAAACCAACCCAAGAATGACAGGATTTTCTCCATACAATCTATATTCAAGAGTATTCCAACTATAATAAACCCCCCAAAAATCAAAACACGATAGAAAGAAGCAAGGAAAACATCATGTTATGATACTGTCAAATGCGTCAAATGTAAGACAAAGCCAAGACCATGTGTGTTCCTACAAATTAACAGCATTAACACCTTGTAGCTTGATTTTGTTATTTCAAAAGAGAACGAAGGACAGAGTTTATCAGTACTGGGTGGGGAACCCTCTTAGAAAGATGGTTGCTGTTGCAGGGGATGATCCCTGCTGCTCCAGACTTTTCAAAAAACCAATGCCCCAGTCCTAAGTTGTAAGAAGTGCCACACTTTTGGATAGGACATTAAACCAAAGTCATGGCTAAATGCTTATGAAAGACCCCATGGCTGTGTTCTTAAAATTAGGGATTACCACCCCCGTGAACTCAGAACCGAAATCAATTGACCCTACTTAAAGTATACGTATGTCTCCCTTAATTCAACTGGTGAAGCAATTGCTCACTTTTTCACCTGATCTGCTGTGCAAAAGGACAGATGGTGCCAAATGGCTGCTGTGTGGTGATACCCTTGCACTGAAGTGTGCTGTGTGTCATTCGTGGATGAAGCAGGTCCATCCCTGTAGGGCAAAAATCTCTATGCAAATAGAAGGTGTTTATTATTAATTTCCCACACCACACCAAACAAGATCATACTAAAATTGTTGGTTTGGAAGGGAAACTTTTAGTGCTATAAAGAGTATTCTCTTTGCCACGCCCTCTGCAGCCAGAGGGTCTTCCTACTCTGTCCTGTCTCTCATTTTCTGGTTCTTTGCTGTCCTTCCAGTGTCTCTCACTGTCTGGGGCTATATATTTCAGGGTCACTCATTCACCTTCGCTCAGCACTGATGTTCGGATGTCCTGAGACCCGCCTAGCATTCAGGTCGCCCCACGTCCTCTGCCTGAGGGCATTGGTTTCTATACGACTCCTGAACTGCCAAGAACGGGCTAATTCCCCGTTCTGCCGCTACACATATATGTCTTTTTCCACTCTCCTGCCTCTCCACAGCTCGTCCCTTCTGACATCCGTGACACTCTTGTACCAACAGTTCAGGACTCGTGAGTAAATTGTGCTGTTCCCCATTAAAGTCATAGTGACAACAGCAGGAAGTGTCTCTGCGTTGTGTAACAGAATTCAGCTTGGGAGGAAAAAATATAGACAATCTGAAGTATGATCTGTGTCTGCGACTAAGGATCTGCGCCTGTGGCTGGAAGGTTGCCGGTTCGAATCCCACAGCCAGCAGAGGAATCCTACTCCGCTGGGCCCCTGAGCAAGGCCTTTAACCCCAGCTGCTCCATGAATGAATGGCTGACCCTGTTTTCTGACCCCAAGCTTCTCTCTCTGTCTGTGTGTCTCATGGATAGCAAGTTGAGATAAGTGAAAAGACAAATTCCTCATACAAGAAATTGTATATGGTCAATAAAGTGATCTTATCTTATATTAAACACACTATACAGTATACTGTAACTACCACGCCAAGATCAGATCAGTTTCTTGGTATTATCGATACTGGATTACATCTGGCACACTGCACACATATTGAATAAAATCATGATACAGTAACATCTGCACTGAAAATAATATCAAAGTTGACAAGTTCATACGTGTTATTTGACAGGTTTAAAGTGCCAAATGTCTGATTCTAACAGCATAAGACTGTAAACTGAAAAAAGCAATTTTTCTGCCTGATTTAAGTTTTTAACTATGTCAGTCTCCCAAGTTATCACCTCCTCGAACCAATATAGATGTGAGAACTTGTTTGAAATACAGTCTAAGCCGCTTTTGTTTTATTCTCTGTAGAAGGGAAGGCTGCATAATGCTTACTAGCAAATCTACAACTAGCTTGTTGCCTCAAATTAGACTCCTGTGTCATGACATTGATATATATCCTTTATTTGGGAGAATTTATGATGCAAATGGAAATATTACATGAGTATCAGAAACAAAATCCCATGTTAAGGATAAATTTAATTTAATTGATTGAACAGTACATAAAGTAGCTGCTACTGAATAAAAGTGGAGAGAAAGGTGAACTCATTAATCATGGTTCTAAGTTCCCCACAAAGCAAAGAGAACAAACCGAAGGACAAAAAAGGACCCCCAATAATGCAGTAATTAATAAAATACCCGAAAATGTAAATAAACCACACTGCATGCTTTACACGTGCCCGTTACTGTTGCTTCTTGTTTAATAAGTTGACTCTTACAAGTCAATAAAGCAAGAAAAACTGTTTTTAAATCCTTGGTCACCATCTCCAACAATCCTTAATCCATGCAGCTAAACTACTGTAATTATAAGAGTAAAATGTATTGGTCTATAATTACTCATTTCAGTAATTTCAGTTTTTAGACGGACTAAGTGAGTACTTCTAAGGACTCCCTTACTTTTCAATTTTCTTAAATGCAAGTGGTACGATACCATTAAGCCCTGGAAAGAACTTTGTCTCTCCTCGGTCTGGGGCAATTTGGCTGCTTATTCCACAGTAAGCACCTGAGTGAATAACATGTATTTAATATATTTGCCGCTTGCCTTTCATCATATAAAAGTTTCCCAATTGTAACTCTGCAACAATCATTAACTGTTATACTGATTTTTTTTTTTTTTAGCCTCCACTGTTCTCTCTCTTTGCCATCTAGGTCATTCTCGACTTTTCACTCGAATGATGGATATCCTTACCTGTCTCTGAAGTACAGCTAAGTTGTCTCTTGCCTTGTTTAATAGCACTTCAACTGTTTTGGAGTCCTCCACATGCTTGTTTTCTTTGAAGGCATCCCTGACCCTTCGGAGGGCATAAGTCCTGTAAAACCAGACATAGTTAAGTGCATCTTATTGTTGACGACTGGGGTAGAGTAATAAATCCCTGGCACCATGGAGTCCTCTCAAACACTAGCTGGAAAGGCAACCCTGACAAACATTTGCAGCTTCTCTAGAATGGAAAAAAATAATTTAACTTGTCATCAAAAAATGTATTCAGAAGTGCGAAGTAATCAAGTCTAAGTTCCCCAAAAGAAATCAAGTGTACTGGATTTCATAGCTAGATGCAAAAATAATAATACACCTTCACTGTATTGGTGGTATCACATTGTACTACAGGAACAAACTAGAAATAATTTCAGCTAAGAGGAAGTATCATTTTTTCTGCTTAGAATACACTCTTGCACAGCACTGAAGAGTTATTCTATTCTGGGTAGGGAGTGTATACTCTTACATGACATTACTGATTAATCATTCCGCTCTTTGGAGTTTTTGGTTAGAATACCACAGAACACAACATTAGTAAATGTTTCAGTAGTCTCTCCAGCTTGTTGCAGTTCTGTAACCAGGGTTTCTATATGTCCTGAATACAGAAGAAAGATGGTTCTGAAAAAACATGAACAGAGGAAACATGAACACTGGAATCCTCCAGTGTGTGTGAAGCTCAGAACAGTAACCGCATAAAACTGGTGTAGCTTCCAAGGGTGAGATCTCTTTCACATACTTTGTCACATACATGTATTTAATTTACATTTAACTGCATTGTAGCAATGGCCATACTTGATGCCAATCCTCTAATTCACCTGAAATGGGCACTGATGGGCCAAGATGCCAATGTGTGGGAAGAAGGAAGCTTGTTTTGTGCATTTTTGTTAGGGCGTTTAGTCTCAAATGTAATGCCATGACAGCACCCTGAAAGCTGACTTTTTAACATCAGACTTGCATTATTCATATTTCTTAAACAAGTGCAATAAATAAAATTAAAATATACCATGTTGAAAAGGTGTAGTTCCACATGAATTAAATGAACTGCATACATTGGTATTGCTACCATTACTTAATCTACAATGTCAGAACGACATCTGCGCTCATTATGACAACAATAATGAATCATTATTCTGACTTCTAAAAGGTAAATAGAACAGAAAAAAGTTTGGAAGCACAGATCAAAGAAATATTTTTCCGTTTTTCAGAACGGTTTGCTTGCAGGCCTAATACTTTTAAGACTACTATATGGGGACATTTATGCATTGAATATATCAGAGATAGAGAAACAACTGTTTTCCTGCAAAAAGCAGAAATCCCATAAGGAAATTAAAGCCTTTGATGGTGTTCAATATGTTGTTATATGGCGGTTATAACACTCTTGAAGCCTATGGCTATGTTCATTTCCTTTATGGATTGTCCTACCATTTCTAAACAGTGTGTTTTTAATGCAATGTGATTTTGAAATAAAAAATAGATATGAAAAACAGAACATAACTACCAAATTAAGGTTTTCTGCAAAGCAGCTGTCAGTGACACACGGAGCTCTGAAGTCATGTCATTCTGTCAAATACAGATACTTTCTTGGGAGAATCTTGTTTCCAGGTTTCAAAAAAGCAAAAACCAAGGAAACAAACCACAAGAAAGGCACCCTGTACTGTACTGCCCCTGTGATGCTAATGCTAACTTCAAAACAAATTGAAAATACCTTTTCTTTGATTTATCTAACATTCCTTTGGGTTTAAACTAAAATGATTCTATAATAAGTACTTTACTACTTTAACATTACGTAGTGTGTTTTTTCCTCACATGATGAAAATGATTCAAAATCATCACCGTCTGACAGGAAGCACAGTACTAGCAGTTTATTAATGGCAAGCTGCAGGTGGTACTGTACTTTTGTATGCTTGAATGCCTTTTCATTAATAACAGGTTATCCAACACAAATTGCCTAAACTAACTTAGATAAAATGCACTACAATAGTGAATACAACACAAATAGAATTCTCCACAGACTTCATAAAACAGAGTTTGTGGAGATAATCTCTGTAGTAGATTCCCTGGGGGAAGGAAGATACAGTAAATGTCTATCCATTCCCTCAGAGAATACTGTTACATGATTATATTCATTCCAGACTCCTAGAAACTGCACATCCCCTGCTTCCACTGGGAATATTCCATCAAACAGAGATTCCTCAAGTACAATCACATCCAAAGTTAAAATCACAGCTTACCATGTTACACTCGAAAGATGACAATGAGATTTTATTCAGTAAACAGCTGATAAAACGTTTTTTTTTTGCAGAAAGAAACAAAATGAGAAACAAATTGCTAGTGATGCAATATGACGCAATGGAGCCCTAGGTTCAGTTCTTGAGGTGTTGTCTGTGTGGAGTTTGTATGTTATCCCCATGTTTGCATAGGTTTCTCCAGCTGGTGCAGTGTTCTCCCACAGTCCAAAGATATACTGGTAGGTTAATCTACTTTGGGAAAACTGGCCCTGGAATGTGTGTGTGTGTTTGTATCTGTGTGTTTCCAGACTTTTTATCTGCTGGGGTAGGTTCCCATCAACCTCAAGACCCTGTATTGGACAATGCAGTAAGAAAAGGAAGGATGCCCATGTATTCTGTGACTGATCCAGAATAACAGACAACGATCAGGATATAGTCCTTAAAACACTACCCTTAGGCTGTTAAGTCATAAATTCACAGTTTTAAAGGTGATCAATTTTCTCATTAACTTTTCACTTCTAATGATGACAAATCATTAGATTTAGAAGGGCATCTCTGTCAAGTTAGTTGCAAAAACATGTTTTTACTCTCCAGAAAGCAAATTATCTTTGTGGCTTTGTTCTGGATGTTAGCTAGTAAACAAAGGTTAAGTAAATGTTATGAGGACAAATTTCTCCAGGTTGTGGAGAAAAAAAGTCCACACTGCCAATAATGGTTTTTAATCTGGTAGGAAGGTACTGGTGAATTTTGTCCCGGTTTTAGGTCTGAAGAAGGTTTTCCTTTAAAAGCTGTCAATACTTTGCTCCATTAATGTTTCCAACAGTCTTAAGAAGCTTCCCAGTCCCTGCTGAGGAGGGTGAGTTGCCCCCCTGCTGAGTTGCCCCCATCATGTTTAATAGTAGGAGTGGTGTCGATGAAGTGATGTACTATGTTGAATTTGTGTCAGATGTATCACTTGAAATATAGACCAGGAAGTTTCCATTTTCTCATCTGATTGCAAAACCTCAGACATTTACAGCACCACTTAGGTGTTTTATTGCAAATCCCTTTTGGGATTTGGGGATTTGAGACATTTTTATTTTCAGTTTCACACCTGCACTCTTGGTGGGATATTTTTGACATTTTTACCACAATTCAGCCACTGAGCTCTGCCTAATAGTGACTAATAGTCTTACCAAGCTTGTGTTGTCCTAATAGTGGCATCCCTTGTCAGTTTCCTCCTTTACAGGCTTCTCAGTATTGAGAGACCGCTATCATTGGCCACAGACAGAGGCCACTCAATAATGAGTGTGGCATGGTCAGCTAATTTATGTTTGCCACAGAAAAAGGTCTGAATTCTAATGAAATCATGACTTTTCTGTTTTCCTTTCATGTTATCTCTGTTCATTTTGTTTTTGCTTGTGGAGCAGGTTGCATATATAATGATAATGCAAAATGTCATGACTGCTAAGTTTAAAGCAACAAAATGTGAAAACCATGCAATGGTCTGAACATTTTTTCAAGGCACTGAATGTAGCCATAGGCTGGGAGGCATATTTAGAGCAAAGAGGCAAGCTGAGCAATGAAGCAATTTTTGTTTTAAAAAAATCTATAAGACGCATTTCCTTTTTATGATATGCTAGCTAGCAATGGTTTTAAAAATGTGTCTGATAGGTAGACAAAAGGAACATACATTTTCCTTCTAATTTCTACTGACTATGTGTATATTTTTAGACATGCATTTTGTTTACCTTTTCAAATGGATTTTTCTCAGTGCATAGGGTGCTGATTTAGTGTTTGAATACTTGCGCAAGGCACTGATTTTATAGAGACAACCACACAACATGTACTGTTTTAGGCCTATTGGCCTGGATTGTTAATGCGTAAGAAAGATTTGTTTGATGGATGAATATTAAGCTGATAGTTTCCCATCACAGAAAAGTAATCTTTCCCACAAGCCTCAGGTTAAGAGATGAAGCCCCACTTGTATGCATCACTGCAGCTATGCTGCCCTGTTTGTCATACAGATTACTGTCTATGATTATCACCTAAGAAATAAAGCTCTCACTGATTTAGGAGAAAAATACATGTCATGAGTCACCACTTGTCCATTTAAATCCTATAAAGCCAAGAAGCTGAAAAGTGGGATTCTTGTGATTGAATGTTTAGAAATGCCATTGATAATTTCTTTCATTATCTGTAGTTCCAAGAATACATTAAGCTATTTTAAAAAGAGATCTTAAGCTGCGCTGCAGTTCAGTTTTTTTCAGAATATAGGTTATAAATGGCATCAATATCTTATGTCACCCTGCAAATGCTCATACTTTCTGTGTGTCCAAAAATCAATGATTTGAAATCTTTAGACAACTGCACTCTCTAGCTGGAGCTATAAGAATTCATCACTTACAGCAAATGACTGGTCTCTCTGGGCCAAAGTGACAACTCAATTTACACTGATTTAACAAGGCTTTGGGCTTTTTATTACATGTAATGTGCTGAATGACTTACATCTGCCTTGTTGTGTATCTTCCTGTAGCACAGTACCTCAGCACAAAGCTCCAGCTATGTCTTGAGTATTTAACATAAGAACATAAGAAACCCTTTTTCATAACAAGCTACTGTAAACAATAGGCTGGGAGCAGAACTGGATCTTCCTAATTCATGAAAGATTGGCTTTCCTTTATGACACAAAATTTCACTAGTTCTCAAAAGGACTAGTTTCAGTACTAGGAATACATTTTCAATATTATACAACTAAGAAAACAATTAAAAGGCGTTTCCAGGTATCAGTTACATAAAGCTTATAAAAACATTTTATAGGTCAGTAATTATGTTTTTAAAAAGCTTC